GCTCGACTTGTTGCTTTTGATTTATGCCATGCCTATCAGCCTGCACCTGCTACAGCCTCTATGAAAAGGGTCTGGTCAGCTTCGAAACTCGAGCCATCCAGGGTCCGGGCCAAGTTCCTGTATCCACCTCAAGACGATCCTGCTTCCTACAATTGGTGAAAACGCACGCGAACCAAATGCCAAATCACACTCGCCACTTGAGTTCTGGAGACGCTGGGCCCAGAACACAATTGTGCCAGTTTGAGGTGATCCATGTCGCCTCGGGCGGCCAGATTAAGGGCACATTGGTGCGACTGGGAGGGCATGAATATCTGTTGACGACCAATCTTTCAAATGTGCAGGTGAGTGATTAGACCCTTTTGACCTTGTACTTTAATGTGCTGGATTCGAGTCCGGCACTCTTGAGGAGCAGAGGCATTTGGATGTGTTGCATAGGGTCGTGCAATGAATAAATAGATCTTCTAGTATAGCTTCTAAGGGAGATTGGAATTTTATCGGCTGATTGATAGATGGAATAGTAAATTTCGAGCAAAATTTCTCTAGCAAAGTGAGCCTTTCTTTGCATGCCAAGTCCAAAAGTATCTTCTAACTGGCTCTCAAATGATACCATTTTTCCTGTTGGAGTACCTTTCATTTCGTTTTATGAGGCGAGCGGAGGGGATTCATAGGTTGGTCACACCGGAAGCTGTTGAGGGAATGCCTTGGAGCTGTGATTAAAGAGTTATGCGCTGAGATTACGTCCATCATGTGATGGATATTGTCAGAGCAGAACACCATGGATTACGATAATTCACTAAACACAAAGACCAGGCAAGCTAACGAGATTTGGTTCTTGAACTTATGTTCATCACGTTGAATTATTCCCAAATTTTGTGCGATTGATGAACCGAATATTCCGAGTAAAGCCAAGCAAGTCTTTCTGAGAGAATCTCACGAATGAGTTTAGGAGGAAAACCCGATTACGGCAATTACTGTCGGAAGTTTTTACTTCCGAGGACTTCTTTAAATTGTAAACAATAGTAGAAAAGTTAGATGACAGCATTTTTCAACAGGTTAGGATGAACAGTTAGTCGATGAACAGACAAAAGATGGTAGAGACTTGCTTGCTACTTTTGACGTTCCTTTGAGCGGAGCTATTCAGGCTCTGGAATTAACTTTAGACAGAAACTTGTATATTCTGAGAAATACAAATTTAGGTAATGAGTCAAAGATGAGGTTGCCGAATTTAATGATGAGCTGCACATACTTTATTTTCAATAGCAAACTGTACGAACAAACAATAGGCTTGGCTTTAAGATCATGTTTGTTCCTAATTTTAGCAATTAACTACATGGTTCAAATAGAAACTAGCCTAATGCAAGAGGCATTTTAATTTCCTAAATTATATGTTAGGTACCGGGATGATAACTTTGTCATATTTCAGCATTGCAAAGAAGGCATTGGAGAATTCCCAACGT